TTTTTGCTTATTATTGCTTATAATTATTATTATATTAATTTATATTAGTATTAATATATTAAAAAAGTTATTTTGCATTTTGTATTTTTATGTTTATTTATAGTTTTGTTTATTTATTTTGTATTGTTTCAAAATTATGTAATAATCGAATTATAATTTAATTATTTATAATTCGATAATAATCGAATCATAAAAGAATTGAAACTTTCGTGCGTATTTATGTTATTGCTTATGCTCAAACAACAAGCAGTAAGTAAATTGAGAAATATTTAAAAATGGAAAAAGGTACCGAAATTTTAAACGGACACTTTTATTTTAAACCTCTTCAACAAGGAGTAGATAGAACTAAAGCTATTTGTAAACACTGCAAAGCGGAATTTTCTTATCATCGGAGTACTTCAAGTTTGAAGTATCACTTAAATGCAATGCACACCGTTGATGCTAACAAATCATCCACCCAAACAAACAGTGGAGGAAACCTTCGGCAGACTACGTTAGATGCAGCACGAGGGAGAACTACAGAGATGCCATTGCAAAGTGGGTAGCTACAAATTGCAGGCCAACTAGTATTGTGGAAGATGTCGGTTTGAAGAATGTTATTCGGATCGCAACGAATGACTGCACGTATGAGCCTCCGCCAAGACGCACCATTGTAAGAAAAATACATGAACTGTATGAAAACGAGAGGACTATAAAGGCAACGGCATTACAACGTGCACAAACTGTTGCCCTCACCGGAGACTACTGGACATTGCTGGGTAACCATATTTATCTCGGAGTAACTGTGCATTACATTGATGAACAATGGAAACTGCATTCACATGCTTTGACAGTAATGAAGACACAAGAAAGACATTTTGCTGAAACCTGCGCAGAACATTTCATTCATGTTGCACAGCAGTGGGACATTTTAAATAAAGTCAGCACACTTAGCACAGATTGTGCTAGAAATATTGTCGCTGCTGCAAGACATCTGCCTTTTGAACGCGTCCCTTGTGTCGCTCACAGTCTTCAGCGTTCTGTCACAGTATCTTTGCACAACAGCGCGTTTGACAATGCCCTGGCTAAATGCAGAAAGGTGGTGGGCCATTTTAAACACAGTCCAGCAAGTGCTGCAGAATTAGAAAAAAAACAAATTGAGCTTGGACAAAAGAAGGAGTCGCTTATACAAGACATTCCAACCAGATGGAGCTCGACTCTGGACATGATAAAAAGTGTCCGCAGAAACGAACAGCCACTGAGCGATGTCCTCACCACACACAACACAAAAGTTGCTATGCCAACTCCAGCTGAAATGGACAAATTGCAGAGGTTGGAAAAGCTCCTAGAACCCTGCAGGTATATTTTACATCATATATTTCTTACTGACTGGTTTGATTGCATGTGAGAGAATTGATGTGTCTGTATTTGTGCGTAAGCATGAACATGAGAACACTTTTTGTGTGTATAAGTGAATGCAAAACATTTGAGTGAAATGGGTTTTATTTTTTGCAGGTATGTGACTGAACTTCTGGGTGGAGAAAAGTACGTTTCATGCTCTGTGGTTCTGCCTGCTTTATGCCATCTCTCTCGGGTGATGGAGAGCTCAGATGATGACCCGGCCTATGTAGTCAAATTCAAATCTATGTTCAGAATAGATCTGGAAACACGCAAGGAAAATGCCAACATTGCATATCTAAAGATTGCAACCGCATTGGACCCGAGATTCAAAGACCTCAAGTGTATACCCAGAGTTGAGAGAGGTGAGGTGTGGGTCTCAATCACTAACTTACTCAAGGAACAGAGGGTTATTGCAGATGAACCTGTGGAAGCAGCAACATCAAAGCCATCAAAGAGAAAATTTGCTCTATTGGTTGCTTCATCAGAGTCTGATTCTGAACAAGAGGAAGACTCAATTGAAAACGGTGTGCGTCGGTACAAAGCAGAGCCCACCATCAGTACAGAGGCCTGTCCATTACAGTGGTGGTCCAAACATGCAGGCTCACACAACAGGCTGGCCTCAATTGCACAGAAGTACTTGGCAACACCTGCAACATCTGTTCCTTGTGAAAGATTGTTTTCTCTTGCTGGTCATATTGTACAAAAGAAGAGAGTTTCTTTATCATCTGAAAATGTGAATTACCTTGTTTGTCTTAGTAACTGGCTTGGTGCAGATGAGTAAGTAAAATTGGAAGAATGGATAAAATTGTTTAAAGTTTTGACAAACTAAAAGTTTTGTTAATTTAACTATGAAAAAATAAATTTACGCTATATATATACTACTTGTGGTTTTATTATTGAATTTTTCGTATTTCTGCGATTAATCGCAAAAAATCATGCGATTAATCGCGATTAAAATATTTATTCATTGCCCAGCACTAATTTAAATATAAAAAAAAACTTAAGAAGATTGCTCAGAATGAAACAAGTTGAAAGAAAAAAGTTGAATAATTATATTAAACATTTATAAAATCAGGCCTCGGCGGGAATAAATGAGCACGAGAGTAGAGAAAACAAACTTGGAGAGCTGTGCAAGCTGCTCCTCATTTAAATTAGCGCTATTTTTTAATTTTAATTTTATTTTTTTGCAACAAACATGTTTTTTAAAAAGCATTGCAGTATATTATGCAATTAATTTTTGTTTAATGATATTGTTTAATGATATTTGTTTAATGATATTGGGTGTTTTTTTATTTTAGATATAACAATAAAAAATTAGTTATCATATATACCCAAGGCTGTATACAACTTTTTTTGATGTTTGAGCTAAGCAACTTTGAAACATAAAGAAAACTCCATATTTAAGTATGTTCATGTATATGAGGTATGAGGATGCTATACAAAAAATTGCAGTAATTGGAGAATGGGAACTACAAAAACCCTAAAACGTTAGCCCCCCCCCCCAGCCTCAGAGTCAAGTTTGTTATTTTTTGTTGTTCCCAGTCTCCAATCACCGCAATTTTTGGCATAGCATCCTCATTCATATATATGAACATACTTAAATATAGAGTTTTCTTCATGTTTCAAAGTTGCTTAGCTCAAACATCAAAAAAAGTTGTCTACAGCCTTGGGTATATATAAAAACTAATTTTTTTTATGCATTTGTTTGTCAAGCGATTTTTCAATCGTGAATGAATAAATCAAATAATCCACCAAGTTTTCTCTGCTGTTGCTGACAAAAAATCATTTCAACAATAGATTTTGCAGCTTCAAAAACTGTGACGACCAACAATGTTCCAATAAATCTTTGCACTTATTTAAAAATTCTTCTTTTTTATGTCATTTCTCAAACAAATTCAATTGTTTCACTTTCAATTGTCTTAGCAATTGTTGAATTTGTTTTGGAGGCTTCTGAAATTGAATTGATTATGTCAGTCTTATCATCACCAAAATAAAATCCTTCTGCAGCATACTTCGGTGTCAAGATATAGGCAATTCCCATATTTGAGGTGATAAGGAATTTAAAACACTTCATAACCATTTCCTGAATAATTTCCTTATTTGCGAATTTCTTGTACATTTCACAATGATAGTAGTACACCAAAGATTATGGAGCATCATTATTTTCAAGTCTCCTCATGATGTTAGAAGGATATTTGATATCTTTTACGAGTTTTGACAAACTATCCCAAAAAATTGATTTAATTAGCATCAAAACAGCGACTGAATTTGTTTTTGGAGCAATTTCTTTCAAAGATGCATTTTCTTCATCTACATGTTGAATCAAAACATACTTTGCCATATAAAGGTTGTTCATTGAACTAAATTTACTGAGCCATCGAGTCAAAACAGGCATTGTGAGCAAGAAATATTTGCTGCGATTCTCTTTTTGCCAAACTTTGCTTTAACAATATGATGATTTTTCCCAAACTTGATGATTTTTTTAGCTTCTTTGATGATCTTTGAATTTTCAGCAGTACTCCAAATGTTGTTAACAAGATAATTCATACCGTGTGCTGCACAGCCATACGTCGAGATGTGTCAAAAATTTTCTTTTTTTTGGGCTTTTGTGGGCCGAAACCCTGGATTACTTCAATGATGGCACCAGCAACAGCTGCAGCGTTTCAAATTATGCTCAATGTGTTGATTGAAATATAGAAATACATTTTTTTAAATGGCTTGATACAAAAATTTACTATATGATTTCCACCAATATTTGTCCAACCATCACTGGCGAGTGTTAAATTTTCAGATGATTCGAGAGTTTCTTCCAATTTAGTAAAGCATTCTACGTACTTTTTATCAAGAAGCAAACCTAACAGCATTTTTGCACACAGCATTGATGATGCATACAATGGATTTAGTGCTTTGATCAAATCCTTAAAAGCTTCAGATTCAACGAGACGAAGATAAAGAGATATTCCAGTTCAGAAAAAGAAATTTGTCGATTTCACATAGATTTCTTTAATATTAATTCAATAGTGGAATTCCAGTTTTAATAGTGGAATTAAAAGTTGTTAACTTTTAATTCCACTATAAAACTGATGATTTTTTTGTTTCAAAAGTATATTAATTAAAAATTTCATGAAAACTAGAATTAAAATTCCTTTTTTTGTCTCTGTCTAGTTTTTTTAATTTCAAATCATTAAAAACAATTTAATGGTTTTTAATGATTTAAAATTGAAAAAAGTTATGCACATAAGTATGCACATAATTATGAGAATATATGCGCATAATTTATCGGCAAATATATGCGCATAATTTATCAGCCAATATATGCGCATATAAACTTTTCCGAACCCTATATAGTTTATATAATTAAAGTTTTTTATATCAGTGTGATTTGGGATAAATACATATATTTTTATCTATTTTTCTATCATGTTTTACCTAATAATGAAGCTACTTTAGCAGCAATAGCACATTAATTAGAGTATTGTACTCATTATCCAGGGGTTCTAAGTTGGAAACCCTCTCAAAGCACATAATTGTTGATACTTAGGTTGGAAATGTCAAACCTACTCATTAAATGTTTAAATTTTTATCTAAATATAAAAAAGCAAATGCAATAGATACCTGACCTCACTTCCACATGGTAGCAATTTTTTCCAAGGTGTCAAATTTTCTGTGCAAACTGTTTCTTTTGGCAAAGTTGCATGTCTTAAATGAAGTGTTGCATTAATATCATTTGGCCAAACACCTTGAGGTTTAAAAGTAAAATTTGGACTGGATGTACTTTCTTTATTAATAAAGTTTAATGATGAGCAAAACAGACCAGACAGAGCATTAAGTAAACCATTCCAGTTTATGTTTACA